AATTTTTCTTCCAGAACAAAAAGCTGCAAAGTGCACATAAAGGTGTGAAGCTGAGATGCCTCTGACTGTGGATCTCCCTAGATCCCCTTTGCACCAGCAGTCCTGAGGGCCCGGCTCCCTCAGCAGCTGTGTGCCCAAGAGACACTGCCCAGCTGGGCACCAGAGGCTGCCTGGAACCTGCACAGTAACAAAAGCTTTCTACAAACCCAAAAAAAAAAAAATTAAATCAACTCTTAAATAAAGTATCTTGAAGGAAACACCGTCTGTAACACACCATACAGTACATGGTTTTAAAATAGTTTCCCACTGGGTGTTTGAAAATGCTTCAAGTACTCTCCATCAGCCCTTTTCCTCCGAGCCCAGTTCAGCCCAGCCCCCAAGCCCCGCAGGCTCCTCACGGCCACAGCCGGGCCGGGCCGCTCCTCTCGGAGTGCGCTGCGGAGACGGCGCCGGCCCGGCCACACGGACCCGGACCCGGACCCGCCTGCGCCGGGGGCCCACGGGCCGCCGAGCGAGCGCGGCCGGGGCCGCCGAGCGAGCACGGCCGGGGCCGCCCAAGACAGCCCTCGCAGCCGCTCCCGGCCCCCAAGGCATCCGCGCTCTCCACACAGCCCGGCACGTCCCAGGAAGATTCCGGGAAGGCGCCCGTCAGGCTCTGCCGCGGCACCGGGAATCACTGCGTTCCCTCAGTGCCCAGCTCCGCTCCGGGGCAGCGCGGCCGCTCCTCCTGCGCAGCGGCCCTGCGGCTCCTGCGGCCTCGGGCAGCCGCTCCCGGCTCCCACAGCTCGCCTAGGGCTGCCCGTGCTGGAGCTGTACCAGCGCTCCGAGCACAGAGAGGGGCTTGAAACCGCCTTGCTCGGCTTGAAAAACCGCAAGAGCCCCTTCCGGCCCTCCTTACTGGGCCTCCGAGGGCCTCCAACCCTGCGGGAACCCCCCGGCTCAGGATAAAATGCTGCCCCAAAGGTGGGACTTCGAACACCCACCTCCGGCTTCTCCCTGCCCTAAAGATCCCGGGAGCTGCCCCAGGCCGCGGATGGGGATCCGGGACAGGGAGACTCCCTCAGGCCCCGGTGCTAATGTTTAGCCCGGGCTCTTTCGGTGTTCCGGCTTCCGCAGAGTCCCGGGATAAGCGGCATACCCTCGCCCGGCGCCGCAGGGCCCCGAGCCTATGGTCAGCAAAGGATCAGTGTCCATTCCCGGCCCCTTGCCGGGGGCTTCGGCCATTCCCCACCCCGCACAACCTGCAGCTCCTGCCGCAGCTCTTCCGAGGCGGGCACCGGGGGTGGGTGCCTCCTACAGGGATGGAAAAGGGACCGATCCATGTGGACTCCTCTGCAGACACCTCAGTGACGGTCACCCTGGCCACCTCCTGAGCCATAAGGCCGCAGACAAGTTTCAGATACAGAACTCTGTCCAGAACTGCCAGGGAAGGGAGGAGGGGGGAAGGGAGGGAGGGACGGAGGGCGGGCTGGCTCTCGATGTTTGAGGCATCAGCCCCTTCTGGGTGCCTCCTCACACCCATGATTAGCTGCTCCTAAGTGGCCTTGGTGACAATTAATAAACAGATCTTTGAAAATGTAACTAATTTAGAAAGTAAACCTTGATCCCTTTGTCTTCACCAAAGATCTGTAAGAAAGGACTTGGTTGGTGTAAAGCTAAATAGGGCTTAATATTGGATCACTTTAGAAGTTCCTCTGCACCATCCCTGCAGCCTGGACTGAAAAATATTTCTCACTAAAAATCAACCACTGCATTAGTATCTATGCCATCCTGCCCCCAAAAGGATAACTACAGATATTAATAACGAAAAATCAGGCCACTCCAATATTGAATTAAAGCTTACAGCTATTTAATAAAAGCATCCCAAACCTCTGACCCGAACAATAACCTCTAATCAAACTCTAACCTGCCCAAACTGTAAGTCCTAGCCCTACCCCTAACCAAACCACAGCCATAACTGTACACTAACTCCTAACTGTAACCTCTAACCCTAACTGTAACACAAACCCTTTCCTTTACTCTGCCCTTGGTTTCAGTGTTGGGGCCCTCAGCTGGGCTGGTGGTGTCCTGGTCATAGTACACCTCTGTGGAACCCAGGCATTGTCCAGGTGGAGTGCTGTATTACAGCAGGTGTAATCCAGGTGGATCCACACCTGTGTGGTGTGAGAACTCCGGGATTGATTCAGGGGTCTCGTGTGGTGGTAAAGTCTCTCCTCCAACCTGTGCTTTCAAAGAAAAACTCTGCAGCCTCTTGTGGTTCGGTCTCAAGGCAGTTTGTTGCTAGCTATCTAAAAGATTGTCTTCGCCCGCCACGGCTGCCTAGGTCAGCGGCCCAGGCAGAGACACACACACTCCTGACACCCTCACTGTCCGGTGTCTCCGTCGTCTCTCTCCCCGCCCAAGGCTGCTACTATCTTTTATATGATATATTACGTGTTATATGTTTACAGATTTTTCCCCAATACCTACTACCTATGTTACAAGGTGCTTTTCTACTCTAAACCAATTTGTGAGTGCCAACATCACCAAGAACATGGAGGTAAGGAAGAAGAAGGAGGAAGAACAGGATCAGGCCCACTTTCCTCCATCTTAGAACTTCTGACCCCTTTGTATAAAGTAAAACCCCCCTGTACAGGTGTTAAAACCCCCCTGTATAATATTAAAAAAATTTCCCCTCTAATTTGTGACTACTTTTACTATACCATCTAACCTTCTGTGACCGCTTATTCCACCTTCAAAGTTAGTAACTCATTCCATGGTTCAAACTCAAGATCACAGCTGTTTTCAGCTGCTTGCCAAGGTCTAAAATGCTTCTAACCAAGGCCTAGAACTTCTGAAAATGTCTGAGAGACATTTTGAGTTCCGACAGTGTGGAACTCAGGTGTTGTCCAGGTGTAACACCATGTAGGAGTGTGTGAGCTGAGTGCTGTCCAGGTGCGGTGCATTTTGCATCAGATGTTATCCAGATGTATCTATGCCACACCTCTTTGTGACTCAGGTGTGTGTCTGTCACACCCATGTACAACCCAGATGTTGTCACCTCTCACTGACAATTTCCCTCCTCAGCTGATGATGTCACCTTCATGGGAACAGGTGAGGATCCATACACATTGCACACATGACATCTGACACAGGTGTTGCTCAGTGGGTGTTTATTGCTGTTTCCATCACAATGCAACCTCCATGGGAGCACATCCTTCTGTGAGGGTGGGGTGAGGGCTGTTAGGCAAACCCCCTACCCCAAGTGTCTCAGGTGTCACCTGCTCATGACCCGCAGACATACACCTGCTCCTCTGTGATCCTTGGGGGCTTGGGGGATACTGATGGGGTCTTGTGGGGTGGCAACAGATTCCAGGGGGCCTCAGGTGTCTTTGGCAGGGTCCCAGGAGTCTCGGGGGAACCCTCAGTGGTCTCAAAGTGGTCAACACGGAAGGCCCAGCGCCCCGGGACCCCCAGGTTGCTGCGGTGGCTGAGGCTTTGCACTGCAGGCGTGCGTGACCCTGGCACGTTGTAGTAGTGGACGTCGTCTCCACTGTTGAACCCAGCCTGCAGGAGGGAAGATGGGGGAACGGGGGGGATGTGAAGGGAGGGGAACAGGGAGATGGGAGAAGGTAGGGGGTAAATTTTGCCCAAATTCCCATTGAATTTTACTGAACATGAGCTTCATTTCACCCCAAATCCACTTCATTCCACCTAAAATACCTCTGATTTCAGACCAAATCTCCCTGTTTTCACTACAAATTCCCTTAATTCTACCCCAAAATCCCTTAAATCCTATTAAAATCCCCCTAATTTCACCCCAAATCCCTTTAATTACACCCAAATCCCCTTAATTCCACCCCAAAATGTTTTATCCCCCTCAAGCTCAGAATCCCTCCTAGCCGAGTGTCCCACATCCCTTGGACTGTCCTCATCTGCCCAGGGATGCCCCATGCCCAGTGTCTCCTGTCCCTCTCTGTATCTCCACCTGTGCAGGGATGCCCCCTAGGCCAGTGTGGGGATCCCCCTGGTTAGCAATGCCAGTTGTCCACTGCAAGTCTCCGTAGTTGAGCAGGACAAAGCAGGTGACGCCATCTGAGGCCAGCACAGCCTGGAAGGTGTTCACCTGCAGGGGGACATTGTCACCATGTCACTGTGACCCCCAGCTATGTCTCCATCCCTGTGTCCCCAAACCATTGGTGCCACCATGGTTAGGGACATCATGGTTGAAGGTCAAGATATTTGAGCGCCCCCACCTTGTCCCATATCCCACCTTGTCTGAGGCAGCCCCAAAATAGGCCACACGGTCCCAGGTGGCCACAAATGCCCAGGTAGGCTGTGGAGGCAGGTCCCCAGGTGGCACAGCAGGTGCCAGGTCCTGGGCCAGGCGTGCCAGCAGCTGGGCGTCCTGGCTCTGCCGGTAGAAGACGTTCCCTCCCAGACGGGTGTCCACATCAGCCCAGTACGGCGCCACAAACGGGTGGTGGCCTGGCAGCGGGAAGGGCTGGGGAGTGAACTCCGGGACCATTGTCCCAAAGGACACCACGCCGTTGTTGTTCACCTGCAGGCAAAGGTCACCCATGGGACACACCTGGGTGGCACCAACCACAGTGACCCCTCTACAGTGGTGCCAGGTACAGTGTCTCCAGTCTGAGTCTCCATATCAACTGTGGTGATCCCTGTCATGGTGGCCTCAACTGTAATGACCCCCAACCTCCAGTCAGTCACCGCAGAACCTCTCAGTATAGGCCTGGAAGACCCAGTGTCACCCCAGAATCCACCAGTAGGGGCCTGGAACCCCAAAACCACCTGAGGGTCCCACAGGTGTCCCCAGTTCTTCAGGGACCTCCACAGGTATCCCTGATGTCCCCAGGGGTCCCCACTCACAAACGTACTCAAGGAGGAGGAGGAGGAGGAGGTGACATCTGGTGGCTGCATCCAACTTGTCACTTTGGTGTCACCTTCCACCTGTGTTACCCACCAAATGCCACCTCCCCCATGTCCCCCTCGTCATATGACCTACATAGAGTGAGCGATAGGCACGCCCAAAGAAGGAGAAGTTTTCCTGCAGGAAGATCTCAGGGCTCGTCCCGTCGTCCTCATGGTGGGTGGCCTCATCCCCCACCCCTGGTCCGAAGGGGTACAGGACCCTACCTGGGGACACACACCTGTCACACACCTGGGATACAGGTGGCACACAGGATGCCACCTGGTGAACACGCCCGGTAGCACCTGGGACCTCCCAGTGTGGAGCTGGGACCTTCCAGTATGGGCCTGGGACTCCCCATATAGGTCAGGGACCCCCAGTGTCACCCCAGAACCTCCCAGTTCATAGGGCCTGCTGGTAGGGGACTGGGATGTCCCAGTATGGAGCTGGGACCTTCCAGTATGGGCCTGAGACCTCCTGGTGTGGGACTGGGACCTCCCAGTATGGGCCTAGAACCCCCAGAATCACTCCAGAACCTCCCAGTATGGGACTGGCACCTCCCCAGTATAAGCCTGGGACCCAAACTCACCGAGGGGTCCCACAGGAGCCCCTGATGTCCTCAGGGGTCCCCACTCCTCTGCATGGCTGAGGAGGAGAAGGACGACAATGGGGGAGACCTTCATGTGTCCAGGCCTAGGGGAGTGTGAGGGGATCGCCCATCAACCATGTCTCCACGTACCCTGTGACCTCTCCATCTTCCCCATATCCCCAGTGCCCCAATATCCCCCCATGCCCCTCCATGTCTCCCCCAATGTCCTCAGTGTCCCCAGTGACCTCCCCCATGTCCCCTTGTCCTTCCTATGTCCCTCATGTCCCCCCTCCATATCCCCATGTCCCTCATGTGCCCCATTCTCACGTGTCCTCACTGATCTCCCCTATTCCCCTGTGTCCAGCATGTCCCACATATGCCCCCATGTCCCCTATGTCCCCATGTCCCCCATGCCCACCAGCGTCCCCACTCACTGCATTCCCATGGTCCCAGTCTTTCCCAGTGCTGTGACTGGAGCCACTTTATGCCCAGGGAGGAGACAGGTTGGGGGGTGGGGGATGACATGGGACACCCCCAGGTGGCACCTCCCAGGGCCCCAGGCAGTTCCGTCTCTGCCCAGGCTGCAAGTGGGGGGGACTGGAGTGGACTGGAGGGGACACTGGGGTGGTGGCTGGGATGTGCTGGGGGACACTGAGAAGGCTGGAGAGGACACTGGCAGGGGGCACTGAGTGTGACTAGGATAAATTGGGAGGCACTGGGGGTTACTGGAACTTACTAGAAGACACTGAGAATGTTGGAGGGGCACTGGGGAGGGAAACTGGGAGTTACTGAGATGCATTGGGAGGCATTAGGGGATACTGGGATGTACTGGGGGACACTGCAAGGCTTAAATGGGCACTGGGGGGACACTGCAAGGCTTAAATGGGCACTGAGGGGACATTGAGTGACACTGGGATGCAGGAGGAAGAACTGAGGAGGGACTGAGACAAACTGGGAAGGATTTGGGAACACCATAGGGAATAGTGGGGGAAGACTGGAATGCACTGGGAGGGACTAGGGACAATGGGGGTATACTGGGGCCAGCTGAGGGAGTGTGGCAGAGATTGGGGTGTAGGGGGGGTGTTGTACTGGGAGAGACTTGGGATACCGGGAGGCACACTGGGAGGGACTGGGGGGTGGGTACTGGCATGTACTGGGAGGAACTGGGGATACTGGTGAGGGGTCCCCTCCAGGTGTGCCATAGCACACACCTCCCCAGGTGGACTCAGATGTCCGGGAACCCCCTCCCGCTCCCCGCACCAAACATCCGGGTGCCCCCCCGCCCTTCCCCCCACGTGGGACTCAGGCGTTGGGAAATATTGACCAACGGGGGAAGGGGGGACACGGAACTGCCCGCGGCAGGACAGGGTGGGAACAGCCCTCCCCACCCCCACTGCCCCCCAGAATATTCCCACACTCCTGTTTTCCCAGAATTTCCAGGATTTTATCCCAGATCACCAGCAAACGGCGTTTTCTCTCAGGTTTTATTTTGGGGGCTAAAGCACAATTTTGGGACTTACAAAAATCCGGGTTTTCCGGATCTGAGGCTGTTTGAGGATGACGTCAGTGATAGGGCGCGGCCACTCAGGTGAAATGTCAATTTTCCACATCACTGGGTGGGAAGAAAGGCAAATCGAGGGGGACTTTCTGGCAGTTTCTTCCACTTTAGGGTCTTTTCTCCCTTTTCTGGACGTGTTATGCCCATTTTTGAACTCTTTCTCCTACGTTGTTTGTGTCTTTCCCCAATTTGAGAGGCTTTCCCCCCCCTTTTTTATTCACTTTTCCCTTGTTTTGGACTATTTTTCCCCTTTTCTTGTGCTTCTCTCCCACTCCTCTTCCCCCCTTTGTGGGGGGGGTTTTCCCCCGTTTCTGGTGTATCTCTTTCCCCCTAGTTTTTGCACTCTTCCTCACTTTTTAATATTCCTTTTCCCTATTTTTGGGTCCTTCACCCACTTTTGGTGTCTTTTCCGGTCTTTGTGTTTTTATTCTCATTTGGGGGATTCTTTTGACCTCTTTTTCCCTCCCTCTTTTCTCCTTTTCTGATCTCTTTGCACTTGTTTCAGTTCTTTTCCTCTGCTGCCTCATTTCCTCATTTACAAGTCTCTTTTCCCACCTTTTGGGGTTATTCTCCCCCTCCCCCCCCACCCCATGCTGTTGCTGCTTTTTTTGGTCTCTTTTCCTGAATTTTGGGGTCCTTTCCCCAGTTTTGGCTCTTCCCCCTCTATTTGGTCTCCTTTCCCATCTTTTCAGGGCTCTTTTCTCCCTTTTGGAGAACTCGTTTCCCCGTTTTTGGTCTCTTTTCCATCTTTTGTGCCTTCTTTCCCCTTTTGGGGCTATTCTTTCCCTCTTTTTTAGGCTATTTTTCTCCCCTTTTTTGACACTGTTCCCCCTAGTGCCACCCACAAGATACCCAAATTCCCCAGTGTCCCCATGGTGTCACCCACCTGGGTGATGTCAGGCACCGCCAGGCCTCGGCCAGGGCCCATGTGTCACTTGTCACCGTCCCATCAGTGCACAGCTCCACCAGAATTCCTGGGATTCAGCTGACCTGGAGGGTCGTGTGCGTCTCCGTGATGGTCAACGGTCCTGGGAACTCCGCAGGCAGGGGGTGGGCTGTTGAGCTGGAGAACACCAAATTAAGGGAAAAAAGGGGATTTGGGGTGATACAGGGGTGAAGGGTAGTTGGAGGAAAAGAGGGTGGATAAGAGGAAGTTTGTGGAAAAATGATGGGATGAATCGAGGCATGGTGGGGGTAGAACAAAGGACAACCCATGTAGGTGCTTCTCTGACATGAAACTGGGAGAAGAAAGAGCAATTTCAGTCAAAATTATGGGGCGCATCAATTAATGGATGTCTCAGCCTCTCACACAAGTGCTTCACTAGCAGGAAACTGTGAGCAGAATACAGCAATTTGGGACAAAATTAAGGTAAGAACATCCTGTGGTGCTGGTGGGATGAGACAACCCGTGCGGACTCTTACTGGGTCTGAAATTAGGAAAAAAAAATCCATTTTTTTAAAATTAAAATTAAGGTCAGAAGGATGTTTAGGATGACAACATGCAGCGGTGACATTTCTGGGTACCAGCCAGGGTGTTGACAATTTACCCAGCCCTTCCTGTTTTTCTACATGGTGATGAAGCCGTGAGGCAGTGAAGAGGTGAAGTGCCACCAGGCTGGTCCCCAATGTCCCTGACATCCCCCAGCAGCTGGAACCACAGGGAGTCCTGGGGGTCACATATGCTGGCCCACACAGGTGCCGGTGGCCAAGGTAGACCCAGTGATGCCATCAAAGGTGACGAAGTGGGTGGCAGGGGACAGGGCGTAATGCCCCAGGAGTGCGATGCAGGTGTGGGTGCTGTCATGGAGGCTGCAGGTGTGGCCGAAGGGACAAGCAAAGGGGTGGCACTGGAGGCCGCTGGGCGCCTGGCAGGTGCAGGATTGGGAGCAGTCAGAGGTCAGGATGGTCTCAGTGATCTGTTTTCCATGGATAAAATGTGGAAAGTGGGTAAAAGTGGCCTAAAATGGCCAAAAAATAATGGAGATGATAATGCTGTGAGGTCTTTTGGGAGGGAGGAAGGGGCCCATGGTTCCCATATCCCCTGTGTGTCTCCATATTCCCAATGGGTGCCCATGGGGACCACCAGCATCTCCCCAGCATGTCCCATGTCCCCACACATCCCCATGTCCCCCATGAGGGGCACACTGGGGAGACTGGGACCTGCTGGGGGACACAGGGAACATTGGTGAAGATACAGGAAGATAATGGGACATGCTGGGAGACACTGGGAAGGACACTAAGTTCCCCCACTAAAAAACTGGGATAAATTGTGAGGCACTGTGGAGGGAACAGAAACAAATTGAGAGGGAATGGGAACACTGTGTGGGAAATTGGGGGAGGACTTGATTACCCTGGGAGGGACACTGGACAATACAGGGAATACCAGGGGAGAGTGGAGGGGAGGAGACCCCCTGAGCCCTCTCACTATGAGGAGAGACCCTGGGGTGGAGGGGAATCCACTGGGGGATGTGTTTGGGGGAAGTGGGACACATGGGGAGAAATGATAACATGGAGGATGCTGGGGCGTACTGGGGACACTGGGAGGCACACCAAAGGGATCCGGGATCAGTGGGGAGCTTGGAAGAAGCAAGGGCTGGAACTGGGTGGCACTGGGGCCACACTCACCTGGAGTAGCATTCCTGGGGGAGGCAGCCACAGTTCCCTGGGAAGACGCAGCAGGCCCCGTTGAACAGCAGCCCCTCGGTGCACTGACACCCCTCAAAGCACCGCTCGCTGCAGGGTGGAGGGGGGTGACACACCTGCGCAGGTGTGCTCACCGGTGCGGGCATGCAGCTGGTAATGGCTCTTGAGAGGGGGCAGGTGAGAGCTGGGAAAGGAAGGGAAGAAACAAAGAGTGTCAATGGGGGGCAGTGGGGCTACTGGGGGATCATCTGGGGTCAACCAGTGCCTCTTGGGATCAATGCCATCCCACCTTTGGGGTGGGTGGTCCCATGGGGCTCCCATTTGGAGACAGGGGTGGCCCCACTAGTTGCACAGGGTTCCACCAGGGGGACACAGGCTTCTCATTTTGGGAGAGGTCCCCTTTGAGGGTGTGATTTCAGCATTTCCCAGATGGGGGCTATTATGGACAAATTCAATTGGTGTTATGGGTAATAAACACAATTCGCGCCATTCCCTGTATATGTTAAATACTTGTTAGATTATACTCGTTTGTACTAGCCTCTTCCCCTTCCCCCCGAGATCAGGTGTATATTGGAAACTGATTTACAAGAAGGTACAGCTCGCCAGGAGATGGGCAATGTCTGGAGAGATGCGGGGGACCCCAGGTGCTGATCATCACCTGAACGACCCGAGATGGATATCATGGAAATCCTCGGACAAATACATGTGAATGCAGTGTTCCCATAAATTTCATCACGGGATTCAACAACTCCGGACACTGAATTGTTCTCCCTCATCTCCAAAAGAGAAAATCTTATTAACATATGGACTCTGAATAGAAGAAAAGACTGATTGCAGAAATCTTGGTCTCAGGCGGAATTTCTCTATAAAAACCGCTTGTGCCAGGATGGAGGTGTGTGGGCATAGGGGAAAAACCTCTCCTGAGGCTGACTCCTTGTTGCACACCCAGGGTCGATCCCCGAGCTCGGCACTGTGTTTTTTTTCATGGCTCGCTAGATAGAATTTGACCGCAAATAAAACTATTTTTATTTTTTAATTTGGCTGAATAAATTTTCATTTATAACAATTGGGGAGGCTAATTATAGAGAAATTAATTAACAAGAATTTATTAAGCAAGTAGTATTAAGCAAAAGACAGAGCTGGGTGACCAGGGAGTCTCTGCTCTACCATGGCGCACCTTCCCCTTTGACCTTTTAGTTTTTATAGTCCTTTTTTTTTTTTTTCCCCCCCCGGTTGACGTATTTTCTCCCGATGCACTCTGTGCCGGTGCAATTGGCTGCTAGGAGGTCTTTTTTTCTGCCCTTGGTGATCATAGGAATGAAGGCTCCTCATTTTCCTTGCAGATTGTCCTTGGCTTAAAAGTTAACTTGTATATAATTAGTTACAGTCTTCTATGCTAGTTGCGTTCCCTACTCAGTTCAAATTCTTATCTCCTTCAACACTCGTTTTGATGAACAAAGACCTCTTTATTTATTACAGGGGCTTAGCAATGCAGACATGCTCCATTCCACTCCCCTCGACCTCCAAATTCCCACCCCCACCAAAATTTCCACTCCCTGCAAAATTCCTGTCCCCACAGAAATCCTGACCTGTGAATTCTCATCCTCCCAAAACTTCACCACCCCAAATTCCCAACTCCAAACTTCCTGTCACCTCAAATACCCAAATCCCCCCAGAATTCCCAATTCCTCCATGTACTCACGGCAACCCGTGGTCTCCCGACATTCCCATAGCAGGCCTGCGGCTGCCTGGCACGCAGCTGCCTAGCCCTGAAAGCCTGGACAGGGGTCTCCACCCTCCCACACAACTGGCACCCAAAGGTCACCAGGAACGTGCAGGGCGGCACCGCCCCGTGACACCCTGCAAAGGGTCCCTCGGGGTCCCCGAGCACCGCGCAGCACCTTGCCAGGTGGGTGCAGTTTGGGGGGAGCTGCCCAGAGCCTCCCGTCGGGGTCCCCGTTGATGTTGCCACAGAGGCCCCGGGGCCGGCGGGATGGGGTGCATTGCCATCCTAGAGGATTTTGGGGCTCCTCTGGACCTAGAGCAGCTGGTGGGGCCCCACCTGCACCGCCCCCACGCAGCCACAGCAGCAGCAAGTGGCGGTTGCCATCCACCTGGGGGAGACAGGGGGGAGGATTCTGTAAGGGAAGTTGCAGCTTTTGCCTCAAAGGTGGGGCAAAATAGGGTTTGCACCCCCAAGAACAGGATTTGCACTTCCAAAACTAGGGTTTGGATTTCCTTCTGCGCACCTCAAACCCACGGTTTACATCCCAAAAAGGGATGGTGATTAGACTCCAAAAAGAGAGTTTTCAACACCAAAATCATAGTTTCCAGCTCAATCCCACAGTTAGCACACCAGAAATGGTCTGTACACCCTAGAGTGCACACTTAAAGTGGTGTGTGTACCCCAAACAGGGTTTGTACTTACAAAACCACACTTTCACCCCCAAAAGCATTGTCCCCAAAACATGGTTTGCACCCACAAAACAGGGCATGCACCTCAAAGTCAGAGCTTTAACCCTAAACAAGGCCTTTCCTCACTGTTGCACCTCCCAAAATCCTATTTCCATCCCCCTTTTTGGCTCCCAAGTATCTTTTTGCCCCCAAAACTAGGGCTTGCACCCCCAAGTTCCCGGGGCCTCTACTCACTGTCACCTCCCACTGCTGTCCCCTGTCCACCACCACAGTCACCCCGTGCGCCGATGCCATCACCATCACCCACTGCACCTCCATGTCCTCCTGCTCCAAGGCCACGATGATAGGCTCCAGCTCTTCTTCAGGCTCACCCCTCTCCAACTCCTGCAGCAGGAGGGTGCAGGACTCCCCAAAATTCCCCAGGTGCCCATCAAAAGTGCTGTAAGCCCCTGCCCCCAAAAAACTGGCACTGTCTGCAGGTGCAGGGGTGGCACTCCAGTACCCCACCCTACACTGTGCATTCCTTGTCACTGGAGCAGTCTGGAATGGGATGACACTCCAGCCCCCCATTTTCAGAACAGATACGCTGCTCAGTGCAGGGGGACCCAGGGTAAAACTGCACTCCCCTGGGCCCTCCAAAACAGCCACACTGGGGGAGGGGCATGCAGTAATCCCCCTCTGGAAAAATCTGGGATCACAGAAACAACCTTCAAAGCATGTGGAGGCATCAGAGCAGTCCTGAGGTCCAGCTTTGCGTTTGCAGATGCAGGGGGAGGGGGGGCGGTGCAGAGCTCATAGTGCTAGTTTGGGGGGCACACAGGGCCTGTCAGGAAGGGAGAAGGGTTGGGAACACCAAAACCCCCACAGAAACTCCCTGCAAAGCCTCAAAACCCTAATGGACACCCCAGATTCCCATGGATATCCCAAAATTCCTCATCCAGGCCTCCCCTTGTGCAGACCCCAAATACCCCATGGACACCCCAAAACTCCTTTTGTAGACTCCAAAACCCCACTGACACCCTAAAGCTCCACATGGAGACCCAAAAACCCCTGGGAACACTTCAAACCTGCCATGAAAACCCCAAAGTCCCCACAGACAGCCCCCACCTCCCTTCCCCTTGCCAGACATGCCAAATACCTCCATGGACAGCCCAAAACTCCTTGCCTAACCCCTGTGTCCCTCTCTGCCCTCCAAACCCCCCCCATACTCTCCCAAGCCCCCCAAGTCCCCCCATACTGCAGAAGGCAGCCATTTTTCACAGCTGTGGTCACCAGTGGCCACACAGATGGAGCAAGGTCTGGGAAATGGGGGAAGAGACTGGGAAAAGTGGGATGAGGTCTGAGCCATGTGGCAAGGGTCTGGGCCATGCAGGATGGGGTCTGGAATGCACAAGATGAGGTCTCGGACACAATGATAAATTTCACAGAATTTCAGAGAATGACTAGGTTGGAAGAGACCTTAAAGATCATCAAGTCCAACCCATGCCCTAACTCCACCACCTCCCTGGGCAGGCCATTCCAGAACTTTATCACCAGGAGACAATGGGATTCGTGAGGAACCAGGAAATTCCAAGCCAAGTCCTGGAAGTTTCTGGGAATTCAAGTGCAAACTTCACCAAATACAGAGTATTTTAGCCCAATTTCATAACAAATCCTCAATTTTCATCCCTGTGGACATGATGAGGAACATTGTCAATGATTATCTGATGATGATACAATGATCATCAATAAAGAATATTCCAGCCCGTTACAATAGGATTTTTTGCCACTAAATAACCCAATTTCTTACCATTTTCATGGAGAAAAATATAACACTTCCTCAAAGAATGGGGTCACTCCACATTGGGTCCTCAACTGACCTCCAGGCTTGATCCCTTTAACCAAATTCTACTATTTTTGGTGCACTTTTTGGTGGTTCTCTCTCTAAATTATCCACTTTGTAGCCAACACCGAGATAATGGAGATTTTGGGGTGGTAAATTATTCCAGATGAGACAACTTCTTCCTTAGGAAGGGTTTATTTTGTGTGGATTATGAGATCAACCAAGACTTTGGGTGGGATTCCCACACACCTCTGGGTTGTTCAAATTTGGATTTGGAACTGGCTTGAGGATCCTTTGGATACTGAAGGAAAAACCCTCCCAATTATCCCAATTTACAGAAGAAATTATCTGTCCCCCACCTCTTGATGGACACACCAGCAGCCTGGCATGTGCTGGTGTAGAGGGCAATGATTGGACACATCCCTTCTTCCTGATCAGAGATCAGGCAGGAGTCATGGATGCAACTCTGGAAGTACTGGTGGCCATCAGCATGACCATGACATGCTCTAAAGGGTCCATCCGCTTCCAAAATAATTTCGCACCCCAACCCAGAGACTTCCTGCTGCAGCCAGGAAAGTGTGACAGTGCTGGAACATTCCACTGTTGACCTCTCACCACATCCTGGGACATCTGTGACCTTCCAGCTGCTCCCAAAGGCATCTGGGTCTGCTATCACATGGTTGTTCCTCATCATCATGTTGTTGCTGGCAGCACCAATGTAGTTCCCACAAGGCCCACACAGGGTGTTGGCAAAGCCATTTGGCAGTGACGTGGCTGTGCCAATTGTAGGTGACAATAAGGCCAAAATTGGTCTCTACAACCTGCCCACTGCGATAGACAACAATCTTCCTTTCACTGTGGTGATATGGGAGGTTGACCAGCTGTTGCATCCCAGGACAATGAAGGGGATGCTGAGACTGGGATGCTCTGGGAAGACACTCATCTTTAAGAAAGGGCAACCCAGTGGGATGCTCTCCCACAGTCCCTTGCCTTGTTATGGTAATGATCCCAGTTACATCACCCCTGTTCTACTCCCTGTGGGAATCCTTAAAATCAGAGTTTTGGGCAAGTTGCAAAAGGCCGGCCTCAGAGACAGCGGAACTGCAATTAGAACTAGGCAGTAGACATAAGATTTGTCAGCAGAAAAATTATACAAGAAGTAGAAAGTAAGGACAAATAGAACAATGGTCTGCGTATTAGCACTTGGCTAGAATAACTCCCTAACTTACAGAAAAGTGTATCTAGTCAAGATATTAGGAAGTTCTAAGCTTAATAATGGAGCTCTGTGCATTGTATCTTAAGGCTTACAAGCAGGGATTTTATTCTAAATAAGTGAGCATTGTTTTAACCAAAGGTACTTGTGCTTATAGTGGCTGGATAGAACTACTGTCAATATGCTTTTGCTTTGTGTGATTGGTCAAAAAGCTTTTAAAGTAAGTTGTAACATTAAGTTCTTTGTCTGCTGCCTGGGATGTGAGCTGCTGGCATCTTCCCATTGTCATAACCGTGTAATGAGACTGATGCTGGAAAACAAACAGCTCGAGACACGTTCCTCAGCAGTCCCATCCCATTCATGATTTGTACCCAGTCCCCCGGCCGGCGATACTCCCCAGTTCCAGAATGTTCCTCACTCCCATTTATCCCATTAGTGCCCATTCCTTACTGTTCCTCCCCTGAATACCTGTTGGATTTTCCCCTGTAACACCACCTTTGCACCGCCTCTGGTCCCTCTACCCATTGGCCCTCAGACCTGATGCTCTGCCTCCCTTGTCCCATATAAAACCCTGGATCCTCCTTTGTTCTTTTCCCTGGACTCTTCGGTGTGTAGGTGCGATAAACTACCACTGGAACGCTATACAAAAAACCCCGGCTGCCAGCTTTTTCCACTGACCCGCAACATACCATCTGGTGGCGTGAACTGGGTGGTGCTCACGTCTGGTGCTCACTGGGCTATCCCTTCCTAGAGTAGACACTCTTGGGAAGGCGGTGGCCTCAGCAGCTTCTGCCAAACCGCCGCAAACAACTCTTATTAGTCTGGGGAGAAAACCATAAAGAGTGATCACATTTGTAGTCTGATGGTAAATTCCAACTATTTTCAACAGCCAGAGCAACCAAACTGCTTCAATTTAATTAAATTTTGGATTGAATTATATTTGGGATGCAAGAGTATGATAAGGTCCAAGTCCCATGAGGAAGCTGACCAACCACCCATTGGTCTGGGAAGAAAACCATAAAAATTGGTAACATTTGGGTCTGACAGAGAATTCCGTTTTCAACAGCCAGAGCACACCAATTATATTGGTTTAATTACATTTCAGATTCAATCATTAGTTAATGCAATGAGATTTGGGATGAGGTTTGGGATGAGATGGCGAATGCAGTGAAAAGATAAAGGACCACTTCCTAAACTCACCATGATTTTTCCACAATGTTCCCTGCTGATGCTGATGGTTTTGTTGTAGACTTTGACTGTCACCACGGCAACGGACGATATGCGGTTGTCACTTTGGTGGCCATTCTGCATCAACACCTGGAATCCCACCAAATTTTGGGTGTCCTCACACAACCCAACCAGTAGGTAAGACACACATCCCCTGGAAGATAAACCTCCTTTGATGAAAGGTCTCATAGTGGGTGGCTCCAACAGTGGTGCAGACCCCAAAAATTTTGGGATAACAATCCTAGATCCCCTCCTCCACTCCGCATTCCTCCTTAGTGGTACAACCAGAATCCCGGTACACTGCCTGCCGCCGCTCCGCGTCACACACAGAGCGTTGGGTGCAAGTGAGGTCACCCCAAAATTCCTCGCCAAGGCCATAGAAGAGACCTTGAAAGACACAGCCACATTCAGAGGGGCAGTGCAGGTGTTGGCTTCAAGGTCACATAGGTGTCCACGCAGGTGCTGACAGTGGAACAGCTGGATGACACAGTGGGGATGCTACAGGTAGGGAGGCAGGCGAGGCCACAGATGCTGTGGGTGCTGTTGGGCAGGTAAGCGAGAGCTGCACAGGGAGGGAGACAGCAGTCAGGGTGGGGCGGCACATAGTGGGACAGACTTCTTTGACTATCTGTACCCTGGAGTCTCCATGGATTTTAAGGAGTCTCCATTGATCTTTTGAAGTCTCCATGGACTTTCTGGAATCTCCCTGGATTTCCATGGATTTCCTGCTTGGATTTGCTGCCATAACCTTCCAAGCCATGAGTCCATGGATCTTTAGTCCCACATTAATTAGGCCCTGCCCACCCCAAGGACTATTTTCACCCAACCATCCTCTACTCATGACATCCCACTGTTGTCCTCCAATTGGAAACATTGATCCCTCCTCCTGGCAGTTATCAGCATAGATCTTGAAGGCATGGCACAGCACATTGTGATGCCCCTCATTGGCACACAGGTCGTAGATACAGTTCTTCACATAGCTATTGGGACTGATAGTGTCATGACATGCTCAGAACAGCCCAGAATGTGGGACAACTTCCCACACCAGGTCTCTGCCTTGTATGTCACCACCTGGTCCCATCCACACAGCTTACAGTCCCCACTACAGGTGTCCAGGCAGTGGCCGCTCTCACTGGTCACCTTCTAGCTCTGCGCAAACTCTACAATATCACACGCCTGTTTACCATCAAGACAGAGTGCATCATCCCAGAGTTCCCTGTTGTTCCTGCACATTCCGCAGACTTTTCCAGAAAGAGCAGCCAGAAGTTTGATTACTACATGATCATCCCACTTGTAGAGGACTTTCAGCTTGAAATTTGATTGGATCAACATGGATTTACCCTTCTGGTGGATGTGGAGCTTCCCATGGGAGGAGATGGGGAGGTGCGAGAGGTGATTATTCACCTGCAGAACAAAAACCATCAAAACAACCAAAATCCATCAAAATTTGGTACAGAGTTCAAGAAATCTAGAAGTGTTTTCATGCAAGGGTTACCTGCACACCAGGAAATCTAGGAATTATTTAGGAAAAGACCCTCAAGATCATTGCTAAATATGTAATTTCAGCAAAAAATTTTAAAAATTGGGAAATTATGATAGTTTCTGCTTACCCTCACCATCCCGTTCTCTGATGGGACAGCAGTGACAGTGACATTGTCGACATGGATGGTGATGGAGGAAACTTTGGAGTTCCCATTTGCCCTCTTTTTGACCTCAACAGAGAAGGCAGGAAGGGTGGGATCGGGATCGCAGATGGTGGTCAAGGTGTAGGCACATGTTCCCATGAAATCAAAGGTCTTTCCATGAAAACTGCAGTAGTGTGGCCCGCCAGCAAGCCAACAGATGGAGAAAGTCTCCTGGAGGCACTCTGGTTGTCCATCCATCTCACACCTCTCCTTGCATACCAAATCCTCACAGGAGAGCAGTGTGGGGACTGAAAAAAAAGGGGAAAACCTATGCATGGTCAACTGCACAACACCCAGCCATTGGGGTGACACAACAATGGACTGACTGTACTCACTGGCAGCACAGATTTCCAGGAAGCCATATCCAGCGTGACTCTGGAACCCAAACACCAGAAGCCCAATGGGCATCTGTGAGTTCTCAGCGCTCTGCATTGTTGCACTCAGGGTGATGCTGGCCCAGGAGAAATCTGTGCTAGGAATGGCCTGCCATGCCACGATGATTGAGGGTGGTGGTGGCAGTGGCAGTGGTGGGTGCAATGAGGATGGCATGGTTATCCTGGCTGGGCACACTGCTGAAGTGGAACGCAGTGCAACGGGCGCTGACAGGTGGGACAACAAGGAGGAAGGGATCTTGACAAGTTGACCTGCTGAAGAAAAACACCACCTGCACTGCCACCACCACACTGATGTACAGGTGGGAATTATGGTTCAGAACAAAAGTCTGCACCTCCCCTGTCACCATGGTCACAGTGGCATTCCTGCTCCCGGTGTTGTAGGTGATGGTGTTGTCTTCATCCATCACCACATAAACAAAGTCAACCTCTGTCTGCCGTGGGTTGGGTGGCACCACGTAGCTCCTCCCCAACGCTGTCATTGGGAGGAGCTGCTCCACCACAAAGTCAAAGCCAGCAAACACCTTGACACAGGTGTGGCCACTGAGGATGGCCACACCTGTGTCGGCCACTACAACTGTGCCAGTGAAGTCCTGGCTGCTCTGGAGCTGCAGGCTGTGGTAGGGCTGCAGGAATAGGCAGAGCACCGCAACAGGGACATAGGCGGCCCTAGCACAGTGGAAAGTGGCGGTGGTGGTGGCACTGCTGGCCACCATGAACTCAGGCTGTAGGTGTAATTCCCAACAGGTGTCACCACACAGTACCTGTTGCCCAGGCTCTCCATAGGTAGGAGGGCAGTGGCACCCACAGTGTATCCCATGGTGCTGACAGACACCATTGAGCTATCAGCACTCGCCTGGACCACCAAGGTTTTACGGGAAGTGCAGCTTCCAGTGAGTTCCAGGTTAGCAGAGAGGGGCAAGGGCACAGTGACATTTGGCCTCAGGGTGATGTTCTGGGTGACAGAGCCACCGCAGAGCATCACTGACACCTGAGTGTCAGCAGGGCCACAGGAGGTGAGCAGCAGCTGCAGCTATGCATTAGAGGACTCATCATGGTTCTGTGGGAACACAGCCAGAACTCACGGCCCCAGTAACTGGCACTGGAGAGCGCTGGGAAAATGGAGGAAAAAGGGGGTCTTGGTTAATTTTTATATTAACCAAGGGGTTATATAAATGGGGCTTTTATGTTTTTATATTGATATTTTTATATCAATTCTGTATGTATTTATATATGATTTTCCCTATTTTGCAGTAGAAATTGTACTGAAATTACATTAAAGATATGACTGCAGTATCCAATTTATAAAGTCTAGTTTTATATATAATCATAATAGAAATTCTATTTATAGTTTGTTATGTTAATAAACAAAATTTGCATTCTATTAACAAATTATTAAAATATATATCAATGTGTTAATTGTAAGAAATAATGGTGTATTATTAACTAATATTAATTATATAAAACACTATTCCTTCATACAACAATATAACTAGCTATTTCTATTATTGTACCCTGTGTTCTTGACATATTAATAGTAATATGTAATATACTTTAGTATACTACTACTTATTAGCATACTGATAAAATATCAATAATATAAGACTCATATATCAGTAAAAAAATCTGAATTACATTTTAGCCCGTTATGGTATTATTATACTTATTATCCATTATATAACTTAGTTATATAGTTTTCTGTGTTATTATTATACAGATCTCTAATTGTAATACTGTGATATACAATACTTATATTTAAATATATAGTAGTATTTTTTCTATTGTTTTGTACTTAATTTTGATAGAAATACCAGCAAAAATTTAATCCAAATCCATAAATCTTAAAAATAATTAAAGTAATATAATAATGAATGTTGTGGCTATTTAATTTATTTCAGTATTAATCATAGTAGAAAATAAATTTACATGTTATTTTTATAATTACTTACAACAGCAGATGATTTATATTTTCTCTATAAAATTATACAGATAATGATTTTAAATAATTTTATTTCTTGTTTCATAGAAACAGTTTGGGAAAAAAACAGTAAGAATCAAGCTAAAATAAGCAGTAAGGAGCAAAATTACAAAGGTAAAGAATATATTAGAGACCAGAATAGAATTAATATACCATTATATTATACTATATTGCAATATAATCTATCATTATATGTAATCGATATAGCAATTATAATAGTAAATATAATACAATATTATAATAATAATTATAATACAATATTATATTGTAACACAAAATATAATAATATACACATATGATATTAAATATAATATCCATAAATTACAGAAAGTTATAATACCTTATAATACAATAACATAATGTAATTCATATAACGTTATGCAACTCTATGTCATATTACAGTGTAAAATAATCTTTAAATGTATTATATAATTATATTTATAATAATTTATATGTAATCTATCATTTATAATTCTCTTAATAACTAGAAATAGTGATATATATTAGCAATATTTAGTGTACTTTATTAATAAATGCACTAATATATGAATAGAAAATATATTACGTGGTTTTGTAGTCCACATTTTTGTACATCCATATAAACTCTTAAATAACTTTATACTGAATTTTCATGGAAATTTTTACTAAAAAATGCAAATAAGAATAATGATAATAACATAATTGCAGCAGAATAGATCATATGTTGTATTTTTATATAATTACAGTAGCGATAATATTACACATTCATATAGAAGTATAGTAGTGTATGTATATTATTAATATATCCCCAACATATAAAAATACAGATAAGTATTAATAAGCAATTATTGTCCAATTAATCAATATTATGCTATTCAATTACACTATTTAATATTATCAATAGCCAATTAAAATTTTATGAAATTTGAATAACATAAAATGTATATATAAAAAAATATAAATATATTAAAGTAAAACTAATACTTTAAAAGGATCAAAACTTTAAAAGGATAAAAAATGTTTTCAGGGCTTTTTTAAAGCCTACAAAACAACAAAATAGCCCTTTTTAGCCCCAAAACAGGTTAAAAGGTTAAAAGGACTGGATATCTTCTCCTAATTAAAAGAAAAAAAAAAAAATTATTGAGATTGTCAGGGGAAAAAAAGAGGAAAATGAGATAAAAATCTATTAAAACTTGGTGTATATATAAAAGCTCATCATATGGATTTTTTTCTTAATTTAAAAAAATAGGAAATTGGGGATATTGGATAAAAAATAATTCTGGTGATTTTTTCAGGACAAAAATGGAATTTGAGTGTTTTGGGGGAAAAATAGGGAATAATGAGGTTTGACTGTGAATAAAAAATAGGATTAAAGGGGGCTTTCCAAAATAACACATGAAAATGAGTTGCTTTTCTAAAAAAAGCGATCTTGAAGAAAAATGAACAGGGAAATAAGCAATTGGGATTTTAATAATTAGAACAGAGTGAAAGAGTTTTCTTCCTTTAAAAATACCTGAAACCTAAAACAGAGTTCAAGAGGGCTTTTTTCCTTAAGGAATAAAATTTTAAAATAAAATTAAACCAGAAAAAAAAAAGAATAAAAAAGAAAATATAAAGAGAATAAAAGGGTTTTTTTAGTTAAAAACACTATCTAAAAATTGGGTTGATAAAAGGTTTTAGTGAAAATTAGAAAAAAAGCCAGGAAAATAAGGAATAAAAGGGGTTTTTTTCCCTTAGGAACCAACTGCTTTTACGAAAAAATAGAAAATAAAGTTACTTTTTTCATTTAAAAATACCTTTTAAAAATATATATATCTTCCCTGAAAAAAATACAATTCCAGCATATGGGTTTTGTCTTGGAAAAACATTAAAACTGATCATTAGAATTTTAGATAAAACAAAACAAAAAAAAAAAAAACACAAAAGCCACCCGAAAAGTAAACAGAAATAACCAGGACAAAGTGCATTTTTTTTTCTTCTGTAGAAAGTGAAGAAAAAGGGGATTTTTCCCATGAAGATTAATGAGGCATTCATGAAAAAAAAAAAGAAGAAGATTCTAAAAGCTTTTGGATTAAAAAAATATTTCAAAATGGGTTTTTTGGTTAAAAATAACAAATCTGCAGCTGAGAGGTGGTTGGAGAAAATGTAAAATGAAGGAAAAGGGGAATTTTCTGACAAAAACAAGCGCAGGGATTGATGACTTCATTTTCTGTGCTAAAAAGCATGGAAATATGTACAAAATCCAGGAAATTTGGGGATTTTGCATGGAAAACAGGGGTTTGACTTACCACAGAAAGGAAGGAGCAGCCACCGGATCCCACCTTGTGCCATCCCTGCGAAAAACACCAAAAATCAAGAAAAACTGTAATTTTATGAGAAAAATCCATGTGAACCCTGGGGTGTCTCCAGAAGCCTCAAATTAACTCCCAAATTACCCCAAAATGTCTTTTAATACCCCAAAATGCCTTTTTTTCACCTCACAAAAATCTCTTGGGGCTTATTTTGGCCTCCACTGCCTCTAAATCCACCTGAAACATTCCAAACTCAAAATTTTGTCCAAAATTCCCCAGGTTTGGATCAAAATGGTTTTTCTTCCCAAATTCTCCCATTTTGGGTCAAAATACTATTTCCCCCAATGCCCTCCCTTTTGGTCAAAATGGAATTAAACAGAGATAAAACATCTCTCCCCCTCATCCTCCTCCCACCTTGAGGCCACATCAGAGTCTCCATCTAAATCAGAGTCACACCAAATATAGATGAATTTTAACTAAAATCACCTAGATTCATGTCAAAATGGGGTTAAAATGCTGACACAGCCCTCCCACCAAACCCTGCCCTTGATGCCATCTCAATACCCCATTTCCACCAAATCCACACTAAAATTTCATGGAAAGGATGAATTTCCCCCCAACTCCTCCCAGTTTCAATCAAAATGGGTATTTTATGGCCCAACATCCCCCAAATTCAGATCAAAATGGAGCTCAACATCCAGAAAACACTTCACTCACCTGGTCCCACACAAACCCTCCCAAACGTGCAATCTGGCCTCAAAAAAGGGAAGAAAAAACCCACCAAATTTTAGGCACGATGAGGGAAAAAAAAAATCTGAAATTTGGGAGAAAAGTGAACAAGAATGGAAAAATCCAGAGATTTAGGGAGAAATGGGCAAAAAATTTTAAAACTTGGGAAGCAAAGAGTTTAAAACCTTAAATTTTGGAAGAAAAAGGATTAATATTATGAAACTTTTGGGGAAAACGAGGCAAAGTCATAAAACTGGGGAAGGGAAAGGGTAAAAATAATCTGAAAATTCGGCAGAAAAAATCCTCAATTTCTGCTCATCACCAAACAATAAGGAAAGCCAGATATAAACAGGGAAAGAAGCCTCTCCACTCTTCCCCACTCTCCCCCACTCAGCGGCCCCTTGGCTCTTGAATTCCTGGATCCCTGCAGACACAGAGTGTTTGTCCCAAAGTCACTCCTTCTAGACCCAAATAAAAAATACCCAAGCGCTCCCAGAATCACTGTCCCCATGGTACCCTCTGGCTCCATGACACCAGGGGAAGGACAGACCAAGTCCAAATGTCTTTTACCCAAAATTAATGACCCAAGTCCCAGCAAGGAATTCCAAGGAATGGGAAATTCTGGCCCAAATGACTAAAAAGCTGAATAAAACCAGCTGGAGCCAGGACAGACTATGGCAAACAGGAAATGAAAGGGCTTTTGTCTTAAAATGAAGACAGAAAAATGGGGAAACCCTGAACCCCACAGACATCCTCAAAACTGTCCAGAGACAGAAGACCTCACCCCCAGAGCCATCCAGGGACCCCCAAAACCCCATGAGGTTCCTCCAAAACTACGCAGGGATCCCTTCAGCTCTCTGAACCTCCCAAACCACAAGGTCCCTAAGGGGAGATGGGGGGCCCTGGGAGGGTTTTGGGGCTCCTGATAAATGACACAGAGAAGAGGCATTTTCAACTGCCCTGAAGGCGCTGGATGGAGCCTAAAGACTAACTGGCAAAAAACCTGAAAGGATGTAAAGGTATGCTTAGAGGATCACAAGCATAGAGCCACTGGACAAATAGGTAATGAGGAATATAGTGGAGTTTTTGTCAAGTTACATAACAAGTAACAGTGCATGCTCAAGGAAAAAAGGTTCAAGGAATGGTAACCTGCAATATGGAAACATTCTGGGAATATGACCACCAGAGACCTGTTCACAGTCCCTCCAGGACCATACCCTGTGGTAAAGTTTCACCGCACACATCAGATTAAAGGAGAAATCCTTCAGCATGTCCTGGGCAGATAAACACCTGCTTTCTAACGCTTGACATTGTGTTAGAAAGTGTACTTGACATCCATTTGGTATCATTCCCTTGGACAGGCTTATAGATCTAAGGGGAGCTGAGAGAGTCCTGTTGGGATTTTGGGGGTCCCTGGGAGGGTTTGGAGTTTTTAGGGGAGATTTGGGGGGTCCATGGGAGAGATTTGGGGGGGGGGGGTCTCTGTCAGTGAGATCCCAGCTCTCTGCCACTTTAACCACCCCGAGGGCTTCCCAAACCACATGGGGACCCCCTCGACCTCCTGGACGCCCAGAACCACACTAACCTCTCTCCACCCCAAACCTCTCTGGGACCCTCACACCCACCCCAGTGACCCCAGAACCCCCCGGCATCTCTCAGCTGCCCCAGACCCGCAATCCCCTTCAGGGATCTCCACTGATACCCCAGGGCCTCCCCCACTGCCTCCAGAGTCCCCAGAGCCCTCCGGGAACCCCCCGAGCCCTCCCTCGGCCCCTCCGGGAACCCCCCGAGCCCTCCCTCGGCCCCTCCGGGAACCCCCCAAGCCCTCCCTCGGCCCCTCCGGGAACCCCCCGAGCCCTCCCTCGGCCCCTCCGGGAACCCCCCGAGCCCTCCCTCGGCCCCTCCGGGAACCCCCCGAGCCCTCCCTCGGACCCCTCCGGGACCCCCCGAGCCCTCCCTCGGACCCCTCCGGGAACCCCCCGAGCCCTCCCTCGGACCCCTCCGGGAACCCCCCGAGCCCTCCCTCGGCCCCTCCGGGAACCCCCCGAGCCCTCCCTCGGACCCCTCCAGGAACCCCCCGAGCCCTCCCTCGGACCCCTCCGGGAACCCCCCGAGCCCTCCCGCCGACCCCTCCGGGAACCCCCCGAGCCCTCCCTCGGCCCCTCCGGGAACCCCCCGAGCCCTCCCGCGGCCCCTCAGGGAACCCCCCGAGCCCTCCCTCGGCCCCTCCGGGAACCCCCCGAGCCCTCCCTCAGACCCCTCAGGGAACCCCCCGAGCCCTCCCTCAGACCCCTCCCTCCCTCCCTCAGACCCCTCCCTCCCTCCCTCGGCCCCTCCCTCCCTCCCTCGGCCCCTCCCTCCCTCCCTCCCGCGCCGCGCTCGCGCCGCCGCTTCCCGCCTTCTCCTGCTCCTGCCTCCCATTGGCCACAGCGCCCGCCCGTCCCCGCCCTTAACCAATCAGCGCCCGAGCTCGGAGCGCTGGGGCGAAACCAAACGAGAGCGCGAGCGATGGAGCAGGTGAGGCCTGAGGGGTCCAGAGAGGACCGAGGGGGGAATTCGGAGGATCCCGGGGGGGAATTTGGGGGGCCCCGCGTCACTTTCCTCATACCTCCCGCAGAGGCTCAGCCTGGAGCAGCGAACGGAGCGTCTGGTGCAAAGGAGGTAAGAGAACACCCCGGCTTCAAGTGCCCTTCGGGATCCCCAAGTGCCCCCGGAGGCCCCAGTCTGCTCCCCCGTTCCCTCAGAGTTGTCTCAGACACCAAGTGCTCCCCAGACTCCTAAGTGCCTGCCAATTCCCTCCCTTGCCCCAGTGTTCTCCGAGAGCCCCTGAGAGACCCCCAACTACCCCAGCCGATGTCAGGTGATGCCCCGGACCCCCCATTCTGCCCATCAGTGCGTCCCGCAGCCCCTCAAATTCCTCCTGAGACCATCAGCGCTGCAGGGTCAGTGCCAGGTCAGCGTTCCGGGGGTCCTCGCCCCTCCCCAACGCTCTCCTCCCCCACAGCCAGGCCCAGCTCAGAGCCCGCCGCCCCGGCGCAGAGAGGACGAAGCCTCTGCTGGACTCCGCCCCCTGCAGCTCCGCCCTCCATGACCCGCTCGTCCAATGGCGCTCGAGGCGGTGCCGGGGGGAGGAGCCCGCAGTGGACACGCCCCTGGCGGGCAGGGCCCTGCAGGGATTGGATCAGGGCGGGTCACGTGACCCCACCGGGGCCATGCAGGCGGCTGCGCCCGGGCGGCCACGTGACCCAGCTGAAGCTCCCTGGCCAATCAGGAGACACTTCCGCAAGCACCAGGGGCTGCCTTCAGCCCGGGCTGTCTGCCAGGAACGCTTCTGGCAGGATCCCGGCTGGCGGCCACGGGACTCCCACCAGGCCCTCGGGCCAGTGAGGAGCAGCTCTCTGGATACCCTGCGGGAGGCACGATGCTCACAGCCACATGACTCCCACCACGCCCCGGGGCAAATCAGCAGCAGCTGCTGCGCACCTCTGCACCAGGGGGCGCCACCCTGTGGGAAGCGAGAGTCCCATCAGCCTTTGCTGCAGGAGCCACTTTGGGGGTCACATGACTGCCTCGGGGCTCTGTGGTGTGCGCCACATTGGGAGTCACGTGACTCCCAGGATGCCCTGCGGCCTCCAAGGGAGGAGCCCCAGTGCCGGGGAGGGCGGGGCCTGAGGTCACGTGGTCCCCGTGAGGCCCCGCCCTCAGTCAGGAGCAGCGCACGTGGTGCCCCACAGGGGGCGCCATGGCAGCAGCCACGGGGTGAGGGGCCAGAGGGGCCGCTCAAGGGTCATGGGGGTCACTTGTGGGTCATGGGTTCACATGTGGGTCATGGGATCACTTCTGGGTCATGGGGTCACGTGTGGGTCATGGGATCACTTCTGGGTCATGGGGGTCACTTGTGGGTCATGGGAGTCACTTGTGGGTCATGGGTGTCACTTGTGGGTCATGGGATCACTTGTGGGTCATGGGGGTGACTTGTGGGTCATGGGAGTCACTTGTGGGTCATGGGATCACTTCTCGGCCATGGGAGTCACTTCTGGGTCATGGGGGTGACTTGTGGGTCATGGGAGTCACTTGTGGGTCATGGGGGTCACTTCTGGGTCATGGGAGTCACTTGTGGGTCATGGGGGTCACTTCTGGGTCATGGGAGTCACTTGTGGGTCATGGGGTCACTTCTGGGTCATGGGAGTCACTTGTGGGTCATGGGGGTCACTTGTGGGTCATGGGGGTCACTTGTGGGTCATGGGGGTCACTTGTGTGTCATGGGGGTCACTTGTGGGCATGGGGGTCACTTGTGGGTCATGGGAGTCACTTGTGGGTCATGGGATCACTTCTTGGCCATGGGAGTCACTTCTGGGTCATGGGGGTGACTTGTGGGTCATGGGAGTGACTTGTGGGTCATGGGGTCACTTGTGGGTCATGGGAGTCACTTGTGGGTCATGGGAGTCACTTGTGGGTCATGGGGGTCACTTCTGGGTCATGGGAGTCACTTGTGGGTCATGGGGTCACTTCTGGGTCATGGGGGTCACTTGTGTGTCATGGGGGTCCCTTGTGGACTTGTGGGTCATAAGAGTCACTTGTGGGTCATGGGATCACTTCTGGGTCATGGGAGTCACTTGTGTGTCATGAGGGTCACTTGTGTGTCCTGGGAGTCACTTGTGGGTCATGGGGATCACTTCTGGGCCATGAGGGTCACTTGTGGGTCATGGGAGTGACTTGTGGGTCATGGGGTCACTTGTGGGTCATGGGATCACTTCTGGGTCATGGGGGGTCACTTGTGGGTCATGGGGTCACGTGTGGGTCATGGGAGTCACTTGTGGGTCATGGGAGTCACTTGTGGATCATGGGGGTCACTTGTATGTCATGGGAGTCACTTGTGGGTCATGGGGGTCACTTGTGGGTCATGGGGTCACTTCTGGGTCATGGGGTCACTTGTGGGTCATGGGAGTCACTTGTGGGTCATGGGGTCACTTCTGGGTCATGGGATCACTTCTGGGTCATGGGGGTCACTTGTGTGTCATGGGGGTCGCCTGTGGGTCATGGGGTCACTTCTGGGTCATGGGATCACTTGTGGGTCATGGGATCACTTGTGGGTCATGGGATCATTTCTGGGTCATGGGAGTCACTTATGTGTCATGGGGGTCACTTGTGGGTCATGGGGTCACTTCTGGGTCATGGGGTCACTTCTGGGTCATGGGGTCACTTCTGAGTCATGGGGGTCACTTGTGGGTCATGGGAGTCACTTGTGGGTCATGGGATCACTTGTGGGTCATGGGGGTCACTTGTGGGTCATGGGGATCACTTCAAGGCTGGGGGTTGATTGAGTGTCATGAGGCGCCTTTGTGGGGCTGGGGGCATTTGTGGGTCAGAGGGGTCACTGGTGGGCCTGGATGCACCTTTTGGGGCAGGGGCTAGCGGTGCCCTTGTGGGCTCAGGTGGCCATTTGTGGGCCAGGGGTGGTCACTTGTGAGGCGAGGGAGGCAGCTGTGGGCCAGGGGTCACTTGAGGGGCCGAAGGGGCACTTTTGGATTGGGGAGATACTTCTGGAAGTCCCTTGTGAGGCTGAGGGAACACTTGTGGGACTGCCACCCCCTGTGACATGCAGCTCCCCCAGGCCCTCTTGAGGACCCCATCCTCTGGATGTTGCGATGCCACCGCCGGACCATAAGGGAACGCCTTCGGTAGGATATCCCCACCCCCAAATTTCAGGGGTCTGCCCCTGCACCTACCCTGGGTTCCCCTAACTCCCCATTTGCTCTCCCTTCCTCCCCCAGGGCCATTGAGACACTCCTGGAATGCCCACCTGGGCACCCCCAACGCATGGTGGGGCCAATAAAGCAATGACACCCCAAAATTGCACTGGGGAGGTGGGGAGACCCCCAAAACCCCCTCCCTTACCTCCCCCGCCTCTGAGATTGCCCGCAGTTCCCTCTCCCCCTAAACGTCCCCAAGAGTATTTGGGAGATTCTGGGGGCTCAAAATAGGTTGTTGTTGGGGTATTGGGTGTCTCTAGGGGGTCTGTGAGGGTCTGTGGGGTGTTTGGAGGGGCTCTGAAGCTGCGGAAGGGATTTGGGGGGTGTTTGGGGAGCGCTGGAAATCGGGAGCGGTTGGGAGGGCACTGCGTGTCTATAGGGCGTCTAGAAGAGGTCTGTGGGATTTTTGGGGGAGCCTCTACAAGTGCTGGGGAAAATCTGAAAGATATTGGGGTCCAGGAAGGGGTTTGGCGGGACCCTTGGGCTTTGGGGGGTCTTTAACGGTCCGGGAGTCCGTGGGATATTTTGGGGGGCCCAGGACAGCGCTGGGGGGTCTGTGGGGACCAGGAAGCGTATAGGGGCGTCTGGGGGTTTATTTGGCGTAACGGGGCGGAGACCCCCCAAGCCCGTGGGAACGGGGCTCCCCTGTCTTCTTCACCTTCCCGCGGCCGACGTGGCGCCGGGGGGGTTCTGGTGCACTCCCGGCCCCGAGGGCGCTGCGGGGGCCCGGGGCCGTCAGCGGCTCCCCCCGGGGCCGTCAGCGGCTCCCCCGGGCTCCCGCACGGCCCCGTGCGCCCCCGCTGGGCCCGCGCCGCTTTGCTCGCCTCCCGGACTACAACTCCCGACAGGCCGCTGGGCCCGCGCCGCTTTGCTCGCCTCCCGGACTACAACTCCCGACAGGCCGCTGGGCCCGCGCCGCTTTGCTCGCCTCCCGGACTACAACTCCCGGCAGGCCGCGCGGCCCCGGGGGCGCTGCTGGGCCGGGACTGCGGTTCCCGTCGTGCCCCGCGGCCCCTGAGAGTCCCCTCAGAGCCGGGCCTGGCCCCGCGGCGCCGACCCGGCTGCTCCCCAAGCGTTTCCCCGAGCCGTAAGTCTGTAAGTGCCCCTCCGGGGCCCCGTAAGTACCCCCGGTGTCCCTCTCCTGACCCTCAAGTGCCCCTCAGGGTCCCTAAGTCCGCCCGGCCCCCGTCCCCTACTTGCCCCCAAAATGGCCTCTTTGTGTACCCTCGGACTCCCAAGTGCTTTCCAACTGCCTCCCCGACCCCTAAGTGCCCCTCCAGACCCTCTAATGATCCCGCAAGCACTCGCGACTGGATTCCAAGCGCCCTTCGAGTGTCTCCCAGGAACTGGCGTGATGACGACGATGTAGAGAAAGACCCTGACCCTATCGCAGTATCAGCAACAGTTCAGCCTTTAATTGAATTCGAATCAAAATTGCAATTGCCGATGCGGGGGACGGACAAGCCCCCCCACTTTTTCGTGCCACTCCCGTGGTCTCTCTTGGAGCCAGGGAAATTGCAGGAAAAGCATTCCTGCATGATGTGCACATCAAAAATTTCATGGGAATTGGGAACAGAGTCTGTGTGGTGAGCTTCCCGGAGAGGTGGACATAAATGCTGTCAGATGAAGAAGAGGTTGAGAGGACTTTGGGGACCTCGAGTATACTCTTTTGTAGGCCCCCCCACCCCCACCCCAAAACCCCAGAGGCCCCTTCATCCCCTACAGACTCCTCAGTAGATCCCAAATACCCTTAGAATGCCCTCAAAATGCTCCACAGCTTCCCCCCCCCCCCCAGACACCCTATAAACCCTCAGGGACCCTCCCAAACCTCCCTCTAAAACCTCCTGAGGCTCTCTAAAATAACCCATAGATCTGCCCAAACCCCTGGCATTCCCCTGCACCCCCCAAAAGGGGCTACCCCAGGTGGCCACAACTAGTCATGGACTGCCTGAGCCACTTTTTCAGCTGATATGGATGTAGGTACAAATCTAACAGAAATATAAAATATAATATAGAAAGGGGCCTCCAGGAGAGCTGGGCAGGGTCTTTGGGGACGGGATGGAGGCTGAGGGTTTTCACCTGCCAGAGGGCAGGGTTAGATGGGATACTGGGAAGAAATTCCTCCCTGTGAGGGTGGTGAGACCCTGGCACAGGCTGTCCAGAGAAGCTGCAGCTGCTCCATCTCTGGAAGTGTCCAAGGCCAGGTTGGACAGGGCTTGGAGCAACCTGCGATAGTGGAAGATGCCCCAGCCCATGGCAGGGGCTGGATCGAGATGACCTTTGAAGTCCCTTCCAACCCAAACCAGCCTGGGATTCTAAAAGTGGGGGAGGTTTGGGGTGGGTGACCTTGCCTGACCCCAGGTGCTCCATCACTCCAGCTTCAGGAAAAGACAGCAAGAGAAAACCTGATGAAAATGCTCCTGGAGGAGATGGGGTGGGGGGATGTGAGTCCCTCGGGAGCTGCTCCGGGTCCCTTTCCATGGGCCGAGTCCCTCAGGTGGAGGCATTTCGGACGTAGAGGCAACACCTACCTCACTGTATTCTTCTCCAGTGCTGCAGGGGAGTCTCTGCTCTGCGGCACCTCCTTACCTGGGGTGCTGCTCAAGGAGGAAGGACAACAGCAGTGAAAGGGACTTTTTTGCACCAAAATAAAATTAAACTGTGAATGTTATTTTTCTCAAGGATTTTAAGATTTGTAAATCCCATGTTCTGAAATGATCTGAGGTGTAGCAGGCAAGACCTAGAGAGTTTAGAGATAAAAGCAGCATTTTTATATGTTTTTTATGAAAAATAAAATATTTTTCACTCAGACATGGCAGGTTCTACCTGCTGCTGCAGGGTTTGGGTAGGGAATTTTGGGACATCCAGCAGATCCCGACACCTCATTTTTCCTGAAGTGAGGATTCTGAAATGGCAAAGGAAAAGGATCAGGACAGTTTAGAAGCTGAGGAAAACTACCCGAAATGTGGTTGCTGAGGCTCTTGCCTGTGTTTTGGACAGTGAAAGAATAGTTGGGGTTGGAAGGGCCTCTGGAGATCAACCAAGAAAATGTCCTGGTCTGGTGCAATCTCCTCACCTCAGAATGTTTGGGGTTTGGGAGGTTGTTGTAAGTTGACTGAATATTAACACTTAGTGTAACCACTGAAGATATAGACAAGCCTCTGAGAACACAGGGCGTTAAAAGCAGAGAACTCCCAGGGGAACGCTCTCCCCACAGGCTGGGTAGGGGAGGGGAAGTCATGCAGCCCAGGCTGAGGTAGGCCAGGGGCCCCAGACAGAGAAGGGGGGTGAAAGGAATAAAACCGGGCCAGCCCCTGCAAAACAGATGGGTGGAGAAACACTGAGATGTCCTGGGCAGCCCCCGCAGGGAGAGAAAAAAAGAGAGAAAGCCTCTATCACCTTAAAATTTAGTATCATGTGCCGGCAGTACACTGACCTGAAAAGACACCGCTGGGGTTTGGGAGAGCTGCTGTGGAGAAAGAAGAAATGCAGACAGCTGAATCCCCTGCTTGGTCTTTCAGAGGACCCTTCTGCTGTGGGACTGCTGAGGGAAGAAGAACAGCAGGTACTGATGGCCAGCACAACAGTGTCCCATTGACAACATGGCACCAAATGGAACTTTAGGATGCTGTCCATGAACTGATCCATGAACTGGAGAGCTGAGTGTGCTCAGCAAAACTCGATCACCCGTCAATAGCCCCATTGGCCCCTGCCTGAGTCCCGTGGAGAGTGGACACTGACAGTGGACTGTCATGGCCTGAATGAAGTCCCACCATCACTGAGTGCTGCCATGCTGGACGTGTTGGAACTTCAGTATGAGCTGGAGTCCAAGGCAGCAAAGTGGTGCTGCCAATAGACATTGCCAATGCATTCTTCTCCGTTCCTCTGTCAGCAGATTCCCAGAGCTGGCGTCTCTCTTTGGGCCCTCAGCCCTGAAGCTGTCCCAAACAGTGCTTGGCCTCCCTGTGGCCCCCTGCCCACACAGGTTGGCTTGGTGACCATCTTGCTCTGTGCCACCAGATGCTCCAGAGGGGCCCTCTGGGTCCCTGCTGAGGGGGGAGCAGGAGCTGATGATGGAGCTCTGTGCTCAGTCACATGGCGGGGATGTCCCACTTACAGGGGAGTCTCAGTCTTATGGGGAGGGGGTTTTCCAGTCCAACGATGGGTGCCCCGGTCTCATGGGAGGAGGGGTGTATATCCCAATCCCATGGGGAAAGTCTCAGTTCCAGGATGGTAAATCAGTTACATGTGAGTGTGTCTCGAGGCCAGTAACTGGGGGGTGGGGGGGAGGGGGGAGTGGGCAGATCTCAATCTCATACATAGGGGTCCAGATCCCTGGGTGGGGACTCATTCCATGAAGGGTTATAATGTCCTCTGTCCCACTGGCAGGTTCCCAGAAATTAAGTAGAGGAAGGATGCTCTTGCCCTGTCCTGTTTGCCACAGTGTTGGGGTCCCCCCTGTATTCAAGGTCTTTCCCCTCTCTATTTGTTGTCTCCCAGAGGAACACAATGCCACTAGAGTGATGTCCCAGCTGGCCAGGAAGAGTCCAGGGACCTCCTGCCACAGGGCACAGACATAGGGGTATGGGCGATAGGGTGGGAACATGGGAGACACACGGGGAAGACTGGGGACACACGGGAGACATGAGGACATTCTGGGATATGTGGGGGGACAGGGGGGATGTGAGGGACACATGAGGGACCCTGGAGACGTGTGTACGTGAGGGGGGCAGATGGGGACACAGCATGGCAGTGAGGGTACTGTGTCCATGGGGAAGGGCAGTGTTAGAAATGATGCAACTCCTAAAATTTTTAAATAACTTTAGTCAGGGGTCTTTGCCCAGGGGGAAGGGAACAGAAGTTTCTTTTCAAGAGACTCTGTTCCCCGGGCAAGGCCTGATGAGCTTGACATCTCAATGGACTGGGACTTGCCAGAGGATGCTCAAGAAAGGAGTGACCTTCTGCATCTAAACATCCTTAATGGTGTGTCAGAGACATTTGATCTGAGAAAAGATCAATAAGAGAATGAAGAATGACGACCTAATGAGCGCTGAAGGCAAAGGGATCAATAACCAATCGGAAACCAGATACAAAGAACTGT